AATTTTATCATGACTGTCATGATAAAATATGAAACATGAAGGTCATGAATCTTGCAGTCAACGCAGGTTCCTCTTCACGAATCTAAAACACTCTTTGATTGGCACCTTTCAGGCAGGGCTTGAAGGGTGCTGCTGTGTAGAGAAAATGACCACTCTGCTTCAGGCGAATACGGCCTTTTCTGCAGCTACGTTTCTTTGGGATAAGTTTGCCACAATAAGTCAAAATAGCAGATGCAGTGAGGCACCTAGGAGGTCCTTTATTCCAGCAGGGTAGGAGTGGGCTTGAAGGCAGAGGCAAAGAGGGAAGAGGACTGTCTCCTGCCATGGCAGCAGATGGGGGCTGCAAGGGAAGGGGGACAAGACAAAGTAGGATTGGGGGGCGGGGGGCCTGGTGGGGGAAGAGGCAGCACGCCAAAGGAGACATACGTTCAAGTGTGTCCCTTTTTGTGGCCAAGAGGAGGTGTCATGCGGCCATGAGGGATTGGTGGATAGGACTGGTAGATGGGCGGGGACTAGGGGGACAGGCCGCGAGGGGAAAGAGCTGTCAGGTATGGGGCCATGACATTACAGTGGTTTGGTGGGAACAGAGTTAGGAAGTTACAGCAGATTGGCAGTCAACAAAATTTGAACCTGCAGGACATGTGGATCTTAAGGAAGCCAACCCAGAGGATGCAAATATTTAAAATGGTACTGAGTCGCAAATGGTAGGGGTTTTCAGATGTCACTCCTCACAGTATGCTCTTCACAGAGAGCATGCTACAGGTGGGGGTTCCTGGTGCGCAGTCCTGGCAATCCCTATAGATACACACATTCCTGACACAGCATCTTGGGGGAAAGAAGCTGGTGGGGAACAAACAGCAGAGTTTAATGCAAAAGTTCTGATAAACTAGACCACATCTCTGAGTAGCTTTCTAGGAATAACAACTCCAGTTAAGCTGTGAGAAGAGATCAAAAAAGTGGTGCCTGGGCCCTAAGGTTTCAGGGCCAAAGTAACGGCTGCCTGCATCATGCAACTGTCCTCCTTGGTTCAATACACCTAGAACCCCTTTGGCGGAAGTAAAGCAAGCTATTCTTTCTGGAACAAAGGCCTAGTAGATTAAAAATATGACTTCCTGGGCCCGGCGCGGTGGCGCAAGTGGTTAAGGTCTTCGCCTAGCACACCCGGGATCCCATATGGGCGCTGGTTCTATCCCAGCAGCCCCGCTTCCCATCCAGCTCCCTGCCTGTGGCCTGGGAAAGCAGTCGAGGACGGCCCAAACCTTTGGGACCCTGCACCCGCTTGGGAGACCCGGAAGAGTCTCCTGGCTTTGGATCTGCATAGCATCGGCCGTTGAGGCTCACTTGGGGAGTGAATCATCGGACGGAAGATTTTCCTCTCTGTCTCTCCTCTCTGTATATCCGCCTTTCCAATAAAAAAATAATAAAAATAAATCTTAAAAAAATATGACTTCCTGGGAGAGTTAACAGATATTTCAAAGAATAAGCGATGAGGTTTAAAAGGAAGAAAACACTGCGTCGTAGTGTGGTGGTGCCAGTTAGGGGCCAAGAGGAGGCCAAACTTACTGCCCCCACAATCTGGCCTCTGTTCTGACCCCCATCTGCCCAGGGCAGTTTGAAGCCCTTAGTTCCTTCCCTGCCATGCACACTGGCCTTTAAGGGTACAAATTACTGTCTTCAAGGCAATGTGGCAGTGGAAGAATAAACACATGACAAGTTTGAAGAAAGGTCATTGGAAGGAAGCTAGTGCTACATCAATGACAAACTGAGTCGAGCATGATTCAAATCCACAGGAATTTCTGGCCAGAGACTCAAAGTGATCTGCTGGCTTCCCTTGAGCTCTTCCGAAACCACTGTCTGTGTCCCTGGGCAGTGTCCAGCCTGGGTGCCATCTGGCATCCCTGCCTTCTCCAGAGCTGATGGGGATGAAGACAAATGAAGGAGGATGTGGGCCCAGCATGACAGTGTCGGTCCACAGAGGGCATGGCAGCCTAGGGGCAGCACTCCTGTGGCTTTGCTTTCCCAGGCTCCTCAAGTGTTCAGGTCTCCAACGTATCAAAGCATGAAGATGCTAAGGTGGCTGTGAAACCTGTTTACAAAACCACCATTAAAACAAAAAGCCTGAGTTTAATTAAAACCTAAGTTTGAATTAAAGGAGCTATAAAGGTTATTTTGGGCAAAAAAGCAGAGGAAAAATTGACTTCATGAACACATTCCTGTCTTCAAAAAGCAGTAACGTGGTCAAGTTTTCAAATTCCCTGTAAGTTTATTCACATTTCAATGCAGAACTGCAATGATGACTGTCACAGACACCTCTCACAAGGCTGAATCTGTTCTGCTGCATCTGATTTAGCTGAATTTTGTTATCTTTTACGGCTGTGACAGGGGCATTAACAGCAAGAAATTTGATACGTCTTCATTTGAAGACAATCTATAGATTACAGAAGGGTTCTGCATGGCACATAAAAGGCAAATTCTATGACGTATGACCCTTGTCTAGGTGCACCCTACTTACACCTGCTTGTCAAACTAGGGACAAGCAGGTATGCAGGTGTAAGTAGATACTATAGGTGTAAGTACACCCATTTCAAAACACCATCACAAGTGGACTTCAGCACACTTCGGTGGATAGCTACCACTAGGGGATGTTTGGTGATGTCTGTTTCAATAGTTATTTTAACCTTTGGCTAAATGGCTGTAACAATTTCTTGGCCCTAGACCACTTAAAAAAAATCAACTGAATCTTGCAATTGCAAAGCTATCATGCATACACACACAGGGGACTCGCAAAAGTAACAGGTGTTTTTGTTTCAGTTTTGGGCCTGTTTGAGAAACTGATGATGATGACTTAAAACAAACAAACAAACAAACAAAAAAACCCCTTGAACTCTTTTACAAACACAGGATCCACTTGTGTCACATGAAACTAGCTGGATGTGAAAGCAAAATGAGCTCAGCTTGGCAGCTACCCCATTATAGCCCACTGGTTCACTTTGGTGGCAGCAGGTGGCTCCCTGGGACAAAGCTTCCCAGCCAGGAACCTGAACCGTTCCAACTGTACACTCTACGCTGTGATGAGCATCAAGCCCAGGGGCTTAAACCACTCAGGCGCTATGAGACCACACGCTTCCACCCTCTGACACGGTGCTGTGTGGCCCTGCAGCGCCAACAGAATACATCATCTGTACTCACAAGCACCTAGCACAGCTGTGCACACACGCTCCTAGTTACAGGTTAAAAAGGAGCTACAACCCTCTCAAGTGCCCGGAACAGTGAGAGCCGGCCACGTGCACTGCAGATGGCACAGAATTTCATAAAATCAGGAGATAAAATCACGTGGAAAACCATGAGCTTTTTCCTTGGAAGTGTCGATTTTTCTCCCACCTGTGGGTAATACACTGCAGCTCTGAATGCTGTCTTGCATCCTGTACCTTGGTTCGTGGCAGGTCTCTCCGGAGAGATATGCTCATTCTGGTTTTATTTTCCTCAACTTCTTGATTTTAAGTTATAGTGTCACTATAAAGAAATTAATTGGTGTTGTAGACTCATCTGTATGCCAACAAAGTATGACAGAGAGCAAGCGGACATGCCTTTGTATGCCTCTTCTTATGCATTATTCCCTCAGCCCGCTTCCTCACACACGTGTTCCCTGCGCAGACATCTCTTCAAATTTATTATGCCAATCCATCCTATTTCTGCTGTAATTTCTAGTCATTATTTTGAATGTGAGTTAGGTATGCATCACTTGAAAAGTCAACTCTTTCTACAAGACTGGGTTAAGAGGCAGTTCCCACAACCCCACCCTCCACTTCCTGTCCTCAGGGGTAACCGCGCCAGTGCTTCTCACCCTGACGGTTTTGTTTTCTACCTCTATTCTCTAGCTCATACCACTCCTTTTCGCTTTTTCTGGAGCGTTCTTCACTGATTTCCCACTACTCATGACCAAGATTCACCCGCCCACTCTCACTTCCTACGCAGCGCCCACATCTCATCCCCCTGCTAGGGACAACGCAGTGTGGAGTAGATTAATAGTAAGTAGGCTTACAATGTAATGTTCTCAAAGTCCAGGTCGCAGCTCAGCCGTAAGGCTTATCAGACACTTGGCTTTACTTGGGGGTCACCGATTTCCTAGTATTTCATGTTAGTATTATTTTTGTTTTAAAATGTGTTTGTCTATTTGTGTGTGTGTGTGTGTTTATTTTTATCTATTTGAAAGTCAGAGAGCTTCACCAATTCAGATCCAACCTTGCCTCTGGGTGAACAAATCTCTCACTTTTTTTCCAACTTCACCTTTTTTGAAAAATTTCTGGAACCTTCCAATCTGCTCTATGGTGGCTGACTGCTACTTCCTGTGCCTAAACAGCTGGGCTACACTCTTGTGGTCTCCCTATATGATCATTATGGGGCCTTTTTTTCCTTGCCATACATCCCGCTGCTCAGTTCTCATGCATCCAGCCTCCTTGGCCCACACCTCATTTTATTTATTCACTTACTTAGTTCTGTAGTGGAGCACACCCTTCAGTGGACTCTTGGAGTGAGAGCATAGGACTATATATTTTTTAGTCTTTAATGCATGAAGGTAGCCTTATTCTGCCCTCAGTTCATTTGCATGCTCAATCTGGCCGGGAAATAATATTTTCTCAGGCTAAATTGGAGGGTACTCTGCATGGTTTTGTTTTCAGTGTTGCTACTGAAAAATCCGTAGCTATTCTAACTCCTGAGTCTTCATGTGAAATTTTTCTTTTCGCTCAGCTCCACAAGTCTGTAAGGTATGCTTCATTCCTGAAGTTCTGAACTTTTTAATAACACATTTATTTATTTTTATTGGAAAGGCTGATATACAAAGAGGAGGAGAGACAGAGAGGAAGATCTTGCATCCGTTGATTCACTCCTCAAGCGGCTGCAACGGCTGGAGCCGAGCTGATCTGAAGCCAGGAGCTTCTTCCGGATCTCCCAGGCAGGTTCAGGGTCCCAAGGCTTTGGGCCGTCCTTGACTGCTTTTCCAGGCCTCACATAGGGAGCTGGATGGGAACCTGGCACGTTCAAGGTGAGGACTTTAGCTGCTAGACTATCACGCTGGGCCCCTGAACTTTTTCAGTGACATTATCTGGTAGGTTTGTTTTATTCCTGTAATGCCTTCTATAAGACTTCCAATCCTGAGACTCAGGTTTTCAATGGTGGAAAGAGTTCTTCAATTACACTTTTTAAGAATGTCCTTTATTTTCTTTGTTCTCGATGGAACTCCCATTTTTTAGATTCTGAATCTCTTGTGTCAGCTCTTTAATTTTCTTAAAATTTTCTCTCATTTATTTTCTGTTTCTGTCATACTTCGGGGGAAGATTTCCTTACTTTCCAACTTTTCTGTTGAATTTCACATTTTAACATTCTGCTTTAATTTTTAATAGCTCTTCTTAAAAATTCTCTGCATGAATTAAAGACAGTGTTGCTCAGCAGTGGGCTCCACATCTGTGGATTCAAGCAGATGCTCAGGGGAAAAATAAATTCTGCATTGAACACGTGGAGACTTTTTGTCTTGTCACGATTGCTCACACAACGCAGATCAACAAGCATCAGTATTGTAGTTGTGTGATAAAGGTCCCAGAGACAAGTTAAAGAATACGAGGGAGTATATGAGGGTTACACGCAAATACTGTGCCATTTACATAAAGGACTTGAGCAGCTCTAAAATGTGATATTTGCTGGGGCAGAGGGTCTTGCTACCAGCCCTTTGTGGGTACTGGGGTCAAGTTTCTGTATTTTTTGAGGAGCCTCTCTGTCCTGCATAACTTTATTTCTTCCACTTGCTTTTTTTGTTTGTTTTCATGATGCTCTCGTCCAGTGTCTGTGACCCTCAGTTGAGCATCCATGAAGAACAGTGTGAACCAAAAGGCTCAGAGGCATATGTCACGACAGGACTGGCAAATGCTGAGACCCACTGTGAAGCGACTGGCTGCATCCCTGGACCACTCAGGTCAGTGTGCATTTGGTCAGAGGGTGTCTCTTGCTTAGAGAGGATTCTGCCAATCTCCTGCCTGGAGGCTTACGCCTGCTGGTAGCCTGGGAAGCAACTGGATGAGACCTGAGCGTCCCGGATGCAGCACTCACATAAGCCATCATCGTGACTGCAGCAGGTAGGCCTGTTCGGCACCGTGCCACGTTCCCTCGGTCCAGCCACACTCTCACAGTCTTCTGTCAGAGTGGAGAAGAGAATCGAATTCTTCTTGAAACACCTGACTAACTTCTCAGGTCCACTTGATGTTAGTGGTTAAATTATCCTAAGTGTTGTTAGCTCTCACGTGCAACCAAGTCCTCTTTTTGGGATAAGTCTGCCACAATCAGCCAACATACAGAGGCAGTGAGGTGCCTAGGAGGTCCTCCACTCCAGCAGGGTAGGGATGGGGGCGGAGGCAGATGGGGAGAGAGACAGAAGGGACGCATGTGAAAACTCATTTTATGCTCTCCAAGTAAGTCTTGGAGGGGGCAAAGGGGCCCTGGGTTGGAAGGGGCTGGTTGGTAGGGGCTGTGGGAAGGCCCCAAGAGATTGGTGACAAAGACTGTCAGAGCCACGGGGAATTGGTAAATGGGTGGAGATCAGGGAGAGGGGCCACGAGGGTTGGTGAGTGAGGCTGTCAGGAATGTGTCATGAGGTCACAGTGTGTGGGCGTGGGTTTACAAGCAGATTGGTGGACAAGCGGAGCAGCGGAAAGCTGCAAGCTGCGGGAAGGGGAAGCAGGAAGTGGCGCTGGGCTCGAAATGGCAGGGACTCATCAAGCTCCCGAGGGATATTCAGCCACTCCTCACACATATGATTTCATGCTAAGGGATCCTATTTCCAACCAGGTGTTTTAGGCCCTCTTAGCATCTTTGACAGGCATTCAAAAAGATTAAAGTTCTAAATTCTTTGGACTCTGATATTTCCACATGGGCTCCTGGAAATGTCAAAGATGGCTCCTGTCTCTAGAGACACTGACTAATTACGTTGTTTGGATTACATTAAGGGTACTGTCAAGATACGACATGACATTAAACTTTAAGTAATGATAATATGAAAGCTAATGATACCAATATTCAAAAGTTAGCAAAAGTCTAATGAAGCATACTTCATGATGTTGCTATGATGATGAGTATTTTCTTGAAAAAGGCCCAGAGGCCTACAAGACATAAAAGTTTACAAAATCCTACAGCTGTCCCCAAATCCTGTGCATAGTCAACAAATGCTCTTAATTTTAACTATGGTTATTTAAATATTTTTTACACACAGTTTTATATTCTTCTTTCAAAATGCAATAGGATTTATAAAAAAGACTCTTTAACAAATGTCCGTAAATACAGGTTTCCTGAAAACTTTACATATGAATGGCGGGGTCCCAGGGTGGTGTCCTAGTAGCTAAAGTCCCCACTTCCTGTCCAGCTCCCTGCTTGTGGCTTGAGAAAGCAGTCAAGGACGGGCCAAAGACTTAGGTTTCTGCACCCATATGGGAGACCCGGAGGAGGCTCCTGGCTCCTGGCTTTGGACTGGCTCAGTTCTGGCCATTGTGGCCGCTTGGGGAGTGAATCATTGGATGGGAGATCTTCTTCTCTGTCTTTCTCTCCCTCTATCTAAATGACAGATGGGACTGGGCCTCATACATTCAGCCAGGCCTTCACACCCGCCTGATTACTAGCAAGCCTTTTTATCCGTTTCCATTTACTTGTCAACGGGGAAGCTTCCTCCTGGTTTGGATAGCACCTTTCCTAGGCTTTCTGATAACGACTCCGTCATTTGGGTCTGACCTGTTGTCAGACTGGTTTCTCCAGACTGAAATTCTAGATGGCCATGCACACAAAACCTTGGATGGCAACAGACAATGTGGGCTTTGAGAGGCCACATTGCTGGGACACTGTTTTGAACAGGGGCCCTGCTCTGCACCGACTCAGCTTGAAGATGCCAGACTGGTTGCTGCCCCACACGCTGACAGCGGGCAGGATTTGCACAGGCAGAGGGCGGGAGGCAGGGAGGCCTGGGCTAGAAGCAGGTCAGGTGAACTCCACTGCACAGCTCCTTACCAGCATGTACACGCTAAACAAAACGGGAGTGTTCTTTCTTGCAAAAACTAGGTCATACAACTTTCTTCCCACCAACTGGACAGGAACTTGCACTCTGGGTTTCCTGTTCCCCCTTTGTCCTGGTGGGATCAGAGGGGAAGAGTCTGACGGGGTGCTCTACTTCCACATGGCGGGGTGAGCGCGTGAGGGAAACGGCTGCCCCGGGTATACAGCACCGGGCACAGGGGAATGGGAGAGAATGTGTATGACAGGTGACTCAGGGAAATCACCACGGAGGGCTGAGACAGAGCCTGGTGGGCTCCTGGTTCCAGACGTGCCCGATAAGGCCAGAAGGGCCTCCCCGGAACATCCCGCACTTGGTCGGATGAGGCTTTCAGCCTCAGGCAGGTGTCCGAAACAACAGCCATCACGGACTCACCCTCGCTCTGCCTCAGGCCAGCGCCCTGCTCTGCCCAGCCTGACAGGTCCTCTCCTGTAAACATCTGTCTGACCTAGCGCATCAGGGGAGAGTGTGGGCCCACCCCTGCCATTTCATTGGGTGTCCTGGTAGGGATTGGGGACAGGAGAAACTAGGCTGGCGATTTTTGCAGAAAAAGCAAATAAAACCACAGACTTATCCCTTCATTCTCCGAAAAGAAAGGAGTAGCTTAACAACAGCAACTGCCGCAGCCCTGGGATCAGGGGGTTCCTTGCAGGCAGTGGCCTTCTAACCGCCAGGGATGAGATCTCAGCACTGAACTCGGAGGACTCTGCCTGTTTTGGGGTGAAGAGTGCTGTTTTTACACCAATAAATCGAGTGTGGTGAGAGAAGAGAGTGAGTGCATAAAATGCATGCTACTGCAATCTAATCCCCAAATAACCCTGCCTCATTTGGTTGTCTTTCCCACCATGGGCAATGTCTCTATTATGTGCTTTTATCCTTACAATCATGGTGCTTTTCTTCCTACTATGTATCATTAACATATTTCAAACCTTCCTAGGGGAACAGATGGTTGCTGTGTCCCAAGCCATGTCTCGGGAACATCACAGCGCAGCTCTTCTTCCCCAGCGATCTGATCATGACAGAAGCCAGCCTCACAACTGTGCTCCCAGCAGCAGGCAGGACCCAGCAGGGACCAGCGCTCCATCTCCCTTTCTGGCCTCGGAATTGGCACTGATGGAGCAAACACCAAGCAACCTCTTGCATTCTCTCTCACCCAGCCCAACCCCACCTGTCTGCATCTGCCAGACATCTTTCCTGGCCTCTCCCTTGACCAGCTCAACTACAGGAGCCTGCCTGTGTGTCTGGGAATAGATCCCAGGTCCTCCAAGTCTCCCGTTCGGAAGATCTATTTTCTCCCCAAGTAACTAGCCTGCCACAAGGAGGGCTTAGACACCTGCACCCCGTGAAAAGCTCAGCCCCATGTAACACTCCCCTCCTCAGCTGCCTTCAGCTATGTCAACCTAGCCGGTCGGAGCATTCCAGCCCTCCGCCACGTGTTCATCCTGTGTGCATGCTGGCAGAGGGTGCCCCTCAGGTTGATCCCCTTGAGTAAACTTGTTCTTGTAGTGAGTTCACATGTCACTCTTCTTTGTTCTGCTTCTTTCCTAACACCAGCTGCTGTAGGCATCGGGGGAACTAGCAGATGCGAATCCTGTCTCTCTCAAGACAATTAACAAGAACAACAACAAAAGATTATACGTCTCAGTGATGTTGTAGCCATCTTACTTTGTGTAATGCTTACAGAACAACAAACTTACACACTTCTCGGAAGATATTCCTGTTACTAGATGGCATCTGAATGAATGTTATTTCTTGCACAGGAGGTGGCTGAAGCACCAAGAAGACAAGTGTGCCAGCAAGGCTTCACAGTGGGCTTGTTTTTTCTGGTTTCAGACCATGTCCACCACAGCCAGGCAAGTCCCTCTGCAGGGTGCATTTCATGCGCTTGCAGGGGACAGAAGAGTTCACCGTGTGGGAATATGGGGCCCTGAGCTGTTATGCAATGTGGTTCAAAGTGGAGTCTTATGACACAAAGGATCTTACATGCAGTTAGCAAAACCTCATTACCTCAATGCTTTTTGTACAACTTGTTTAAACAAACAGTAAAAGAGTTACCTGTAATTTTCTAGGAATACCTGGAAAAGAACCAGTTTGGTCTGTTCTAAGTACCATTATCTCTCATTTGGTGAAAACGCTACTTGTTACATTTGAGAGAAAGCGCGGGCTCTGAAGGAGACAACTGCCAGGGGGAAACGAGGACAGGGACTTGATAAAGATTCAACTTATTCAAAGGGAGGCTATCTTTTTCCAGTGGAATACAGATCAAAGCCATTAGATACCACGGAATTATAATAATAAAATTAAGATGCTCCGGATAAAACAATTCATTTCAGTTTAGTGCTCCATCAGCTGGGGGCTTACTGAAGGCGCTTCCCACCAAGGCAGCCACCACCCAGCCTCACACACTTACAGATTCTCTTCTGCCCACGGTTTTGCTGTGTGTGCGGGCACGAGAGATATTGCTGAAGAAGGAGTCTTTCTTTGTGGCAGGGGCCGGTGGAGAGCCAGTGAATTCTCTTCCTCCAGGCAAACTCTCAATGCTTGGAGATGAACTGATGTTTTTTGAACTTTGCTCTGTAAGAAAAAGTGGCAATGATGAAACATCAGAAACTTGCACTGAGGTACCGGATGTACGGCTAGCAATAAATGATTGAACATGACACCAGCTTATTTACAGTTTCAGTACGGTGATGCTGTGGAGTTCTAAGATGCATGCAATTTCATGGATCAAAGCAGTGGGCAATCTTTTTCAAGCAATGAAATAACAATGTAATTTTCTGCATGCACATACGTACAAAAAATCGAAACGTTTTGTTTTCACAAATCAATGGCTTAAATTACTGGAGTGTCCCTCACTGCACATATTAATAAAGTTAAAAAGTTCAAATCTTTCAACAAAATTTTCAAGAGTTTCTTTCAGTCTTAGTGCATCATAGAATCTAGAAGCCGGACATGTGCATGCCCCCAGGGCTTCTTTCTAGATCGGTCCCCTCATTAAAGCAGGGGCACATGTCTCCAGCTGTGCCTTCTGTGCCCACAGGATCTGGAACCACAAGCAAGGGCTCTGGGGAGCCCCATGGGAGGGACAGGGGCTGCAGAAAGCAGCACAGAGCCCTGGCTGCATGTGCAACTGCGCCCCGAGGTGGCAGTTCTCAATGACCTTGGGGAGTACCCAGCCTTCTTTCAGCCATCAGTACCTGAAGGCCTGCTAAGTGCCAGACATTTCTGAGTTCAGGGACAGGGTAGAAACTGAAGCTGTCAAGATCCCATTCCTCACGGAGCTGCCTTCGTGGGGAGGACCGACACACATATTAGTAAAACAGAGAGGGTTTTTGATGCTAATAACCGTGGTGGAGCAATAGGAGATGGTAGGAGAGCTGAGTGCCAGAGGGTGGTGCTGCAATTTGAAGCTGGAAGGCCGCGGGAGAGGCTAGTGAGGCACAGACCTGTGAACAAACATTCAGAGCTGGCCAAGAACCGGCACTGTGGCCGGATGAGGCTTCCCTCTGCAGCCTGTGCAATCAGGGAACAGCAAGAGGCCTGACCTTGTGGCTACAGCCGGGAGGAGGGGGAGCCGTGGAGCTTGGGAACAAGCAGGCAAGCAGAACAGGTGCTGCTTTTTTGAGATCCCAATCAGATATCCTCCCAGCTGTGTCCCGCAGGCAGCGAGGAATGAAGTCTGGACTGGACTTGAGCGGGGAGGTCTGAATACGAGCTGTAGATCTGTACAGCAGTGGCACTCAGATTAGAGACCAAATGAGATCGTCGACAGAGGGGGGAGGAAAGGATCAGGAGTTAAGTCCACAGGCTGGTCCCTGGGTGAAGTCAGGGACAGCCCAAGCAACAGTGGAGGGAGGAAGGAAGAGAATCAACACAGAATGGCAGATCCTTCAGAACAGTCCTCTCAGATCTGGGATCGTCACACACAAACATGACGATGCTATAGCTGGCCTGATAACGCGCTGCTCCCAGTCTACAGTCGCTAACTGGAAGGCAATTCTGTCCTACTGTGGCTCCTCCCATCTGACATGCGCGGGTCACACTGAGCCTCTTTCCTTCAAGAGTTCAGAACACGGGGAATGAGAACAATCTTTCTCGCAGGAGAGAGCTACCACTGCTCCCTGGGGTGACAGGAGATGCACAGACAGCATCTCTGGGGAATGCTTGCCGCCTCAAGGAATAGGGCGAGCCGAAAGCTTTCAGCTTTTCTAACTGTCTGAGATGAGCCTCAGGTTTTGAACCACAATCATGCTCTTTTCAGGTGGCTTCCCCACGGGGCACTGGTGGTAAAAGGATTGCCCACTTCCAGCCAGCACTGCAACAGGAAATCCTGCCTGCAGTTTCCTGTCGCGCCGAGAGACTGCCTTTATGTCTGACGCCATCTCTCCGTCCAATCCTGTTCCCTGATCTCTTCCCTTCACTGGTATAGTTTCCCAATAAAACTTTTGTACTTTTTACTACATCTTGGTTTATACTTCCCGAAAAGTCCAACCCACAATGGGTAATGCCGAAGTCTTTTAAAATACATACATAAAATCATTTATTTAAAAGATAGAGTTACAGAGAGAATGGGGTGAGAGGCCTGGTCGCTCCTCCACAGCTGGCCACGACAGCCAGGCAGGGTGAGGCCAGAGCAGCGGCCTGGGATTCCAGCTGGGTTTTCCACTGTTCTGGGGAATTTGATGTAAAAGAGAATGCAAGCTCCGTCCTCCTCTCACTGGAAAGCATTTCCGTGCCGATAATTTTCAGTGAGCATCGAGGTCCAGTTCAGATTTTATAATCAATCATCTCATGAGAATGACTCCTCCAAAAGCAAACCCCAACAACTTAATCTAGATATTCAGGCTTCTCTACTTAAATTAACATTTTAGAGAGGTATATCTTTAAGCACAAATAGTTGGCTATTTTTGCACGGCGCTTTCATCCAAATGGACCTTTGTCGAACAATATGTGCATTTTAAAACGTAGAGAAAAATTCAAAAATTTCCTTCTCCTAGGAGTTTTAGCAATCAAAGAACCCATGCGGAGCACCTGTCGCCCTTCATCTTTGCAGAATGGATATAATGAGAAGTCCCACACAGACACGCAGATGTGCGTGTAAATGTAATTGTCACGTGATCTATCTTGTATCCACCTACTTCCTTATTTGGTTGATGGAGGGGGAACATCAGCGCGATGCCCGGATGCTTTCCGATGATGAGCGAGGCTGTTCCTGCTCTAACGCTGCGAGCGGCTGTGTGAAGGTCCTAACTGAACGGAGAAGTGTTTTCTAAGTTCCGGAAGTGAACACGTGCGTGATAACACACGTGAGAGGAGAGAAAGGCTGACACAGACAGCGTGTGTGTGTGTTAACCTAAAATTCCACGTAGAATCACTTCAATTTTATACTCTAGCAAAAAGTACGAATTTTGTGGACTGCCTGCTACATTTTTATGCATTTCCTTCCAAAATGAAAAAAAAAAATTGCTATGAGCACAAGTATGCACTAGATTCTTTAAACAACAGGGTAGAAAACCCCCTTTAAAAAGTATTTTATTTTTTGTAAATTTACTTCACTTTATTTGAAAGATGAGAAAGAGAGAGAGCACATTCCGGTTTCCTCCCCAAATTCTTGCAACAGCCAGGGCTGGGGCAGGCTGCAGCCAGGAGCCTGGCACGTGGCCCAGGTCTGCCCTGTGGGCTCTAGGATCCAGGTCCTTGAGCCGCCGCCTCTGTGGAGCACGTGAGCAGGAAGCTGAGTCAGCCCAAAGCGGAGAGGCATGTTCCCCAAGCAAGCTTTCTGATGCGAGTGACCAGCAGTGACCAGCAGAGTCTCCAGCAGTGACCGAGCTGGGTCAGACCTTCTGCTGGCATTCTTCTTGATTTGAAAGGCAGAAAGAGACAGACAGATGCAGATCTTCTACCCATCATTGCTCCAGATGCCTGGGAGAGCCAGGGCTGGGCCAGGCTGAAGAGAGAGCCGGGAGCTCAGCCCGTGCCTCTGTGTGGTGGCGGGGCCCCAAGTACTTGAACCATCATCTGCTCCCTCCCGGGGTGTGCACTGGCATGAAGCTGGCACTGGCAGTGGAGCCATGCGCTGCACTCAGATGTAATGATCTTCACTGCTCGTGAAACTTGCCCCTCCCCGCCACCCTTTATATAACTTTAGTTGCCCTGAAGACCTTCTGAAATAAGGCACGAAACACACATATCTATAGCTAATCTATTTCTGTAAAATGTATAATACAAAAATTACAATTCCATCAATTCCGCTGGGAATATACATACAATTCTATTTTATAAAAAGAACTTCCAATATTGTCAAATAAGATCTCACTAAGCTAACTTAGTTTATGCAAACTGAGTCCATGTTGAAAGTATTACACACCCAGGGAATTATTCCTTGGTTCTGGATCTTAACTATGGCTGGTTACTACTCATTTTTTTTTTTTTTTATCATTATACACACACTTCTTACCTTACTGAGAAGCTGTCAGAAAATCAGAAATCACTGTAGTAGTAAGATGTTTGTAAGATGTTGGCTCCCTATGTATATCTGGAACTTCACATGCTCCCTCGTCTCCTTCCGCTAGTTGACAGGAACACCGAGCTCAGTGTGGACACACAGCTATTTAGACAGCTCGTAATTCCATCAAGACTAACCCCGTTTTACTCAAACCTAGTGATATGTCACTACATCTAATTGCAAAGGACAGTTAACTCAGGGCGGCCCAGAGGATTGGTGACAGGTTTTTCTAGGCAGCTTTAGGATATGTGTATTTTGAGAGGGCTTTTCATGGGAACTGAAAGTAGCTGACGGTCAGGCTGTAGTTGTCTCCGCTTGTATCACCAAGGGCACAGGCCGTGGACACGAGCTGCTCTCCCCGTGGCTGCATGGGGCCGTGGCCACGGTCATATCGGGTGGGAAGTATTTTAAGAGGGTTCTATACACAAGTGCTGAGTCACCAATACAATCTTAATTTTCTAGAATACACTTTAAAAAGAAAGGTGGAGTTAATTTTTGCTTGTCGGACCATTCACATTGTAACAGGTAGTCACAATAAAAAAAAATTAATATGGTTTACCTTTATTTTTTTCCATACTAAGTCGTTAAGATTCAGCCCCTACTTTAACATCATAATATATTAATTTCAAATGTTCCACGGCCCATCTGCCCGGGGGACGCTGTGTTGAACGGTGCAGGTGTAAATCAATGACTAGTCGAGACTTCCAAGTGCTTTCCACAGCATGAAGGTTATTACATTTTGTTGCTACCATAAAAAAATAAAGTAATGATGTGTCTGGGAGAAATCTTTAGAATACCTGCCTTAATAAATTAGCTTTTACATTATTTACTGCACGAGACCGGGGAGGAACTGGAAAGCGGTCTGTTCCCCCAGAGCAGCTCACAGGCTTTTTCCACGGCCATCATTCTGCTCTGCAACCTTCCCTTGCTGTGAGCATACTACGGGTAGTTTGCAGCAAATTCATTTCTGCATTATCAAACTTCAAATCAGGAGCACAATTATCAAACAGCTTGGCCCACCGCTCACATAAACACCCATTACAGAAAACTAACTCACCAACAAGCACGGAACTCCGACACTCAGACCCTTAAGTAAGTGGCATCCCCAGGGAATGCTGGGAATGTCCGAAGGGGGTCAGGGGTCAGGGGTCAGGGGTCCTGCAGGGAGCAAGCATCAGGCGGGGCTTCCCTGCCTTTTGCGCGTTCAGTTCGCGGAGGCCCTGGTCTCACCTGCAAGGTGCCCCACACGGAATGGGTGGGGCCTCAGCCAAGCCAAACTGGGCAGGTGCTCTGGGGCTTGTCTGTCATCTTGACAAGCTTGTAACCCTTATTACCCCCACATCAAGTGACTGGTTTAGGTTTGTAAGGACCCAAAGCCAGCTCTGCTGGCTTCTACTAAACGTAAATAGGAAGGCTTTGCTGCCAACAATATCTTGGTTGCCTTTTACCTCCTGCTGCTTCAGGATGCATGTTGAGTGACTTTGCCAGCGCACTCTGAGTGTGCCTCGGGAAGGGTCAGCTGGGCTGACAGGCTGAGTGTCTGGGCCCTGGCAAAAAGGTCCCTAAATCCCGCTTCCTCCTCTCTCTGCCCCCACCCTGCCTCCTTTGCCAAGGCAATCCTCCCGGCTTCAGCTTCTACCCTCTGGCACCGGGGCTGCTGGGGGGGGCCCCTGTGGGAACATGAGTTCTCCCGCCCACAGTCCCAGTTTTACTGTGAAGTTTAGAAAGGGTCAGGCGGTCTACCGATCTTCTCCCGACCCAACTGCCAGCGTCCATCTCTTTGGAATTGTATCACGAGGAAGCAGAGAGATGGGGGCTGCGAGGTGAGCGGGTCTGGGGAGCGGGCGGCCAGGAGCACCTTCTGACAGCCTTTTCATTCTGAGCAAGCCAGGCAGCATTAGAATTCCAGCCTGTGCTTCTAACTGCTATTCTAGCTTTGCTTTTTCCCCTCTGGAAAGTGTGCTTAAAAGAAACCCACCGTCACCGGTTCCTTGGATCTTTCCTCCCTGGGGCCCTCGCCCGTCACTGCCACGAGACCCCTCTATCACTCTTTCCTGAATAAATCGTGCTTTGCACAATGACATCGTCCACTTGAAAATTCTTTTTTTCATGTGAGACAAGAACCGGGGTTGCATCGAACTCCCCGAAACAGCCCCATCACTGTTAGAGCCGTCAGCACTCGAAAGCTGTTTGTTTGGGATTCACATCTCAGAGTGGCTGGAATTTTGTCTATGAAATGATGGAATCCTCGTCAGGGTGCCAGGGGAAGAGATGGCGGACAGGTGCTGACTGGGACAGCTTGACTTGTTCACCAGAAACAAAAACCGTCCTAATGCTTGCTGAATAAATGCATGGCACGACCTTCTTGGAACAAACTGATACACCCTCCCTCTGGAAAGTTCTAGTCACCAGCCTGACGCAAAGACTCAACTGGCTAATCCTCCAGCTGCATGCAGCAGCATCACACATGGACACCAGTTCGTGTCCCGGCTGGCCCACTTCCCATCCAGCTCCCTGCCTGTGGTCTGGGGGAGCAGTCGAGGACGGCCCAAAGCTTTGGGACCCTGCACCCACGTGGGAGACCCGGAAGAGGCTCCGGGCTTCGGATCGGCATAGCATTGGCCATTGCGCTCACTTGGGGAGTGAATCATCGGACGGAAGATCTTCCTCTCTGTCTCTCCTTCTCTTTCTGTCTTTCCAATAGAAATAAATAAATCTTACAAAAAAGAAAAAAAAAAACAGAAGAAAAGAAAGCTCTAGTAACAAGGTAGCATTGCTCACGTAGTTCTGGCCTGTAGGAAGAAACGCATGACGCACGGCAGGCTCCCTTGCCATCGGCACAGACGGCTCGGAAGCCCGTGCCCTGCAGAGCAGCCAAAGGTCCAGCCTGCAGCCGTTCACCGTGGGAGAACAGAACATTTGTGAAAAAGCTGGTCACGGAGCCAGAACTGAACGTTAGGGAAGCTAGACTCTAGATCCTACGAACTCTGTCCGAATCAGGAGCGGGCAGGCCGCAGGGGAGTCCCGGACAGCGTCTGCCTTCGCCCAGGCTGTGCTGCTCAGTTCCTCCCACATCCATATCAGCTGACCACGACAGGAGCCAGCTGCTCTTCACTGAATCTCCAAACAGAAAAACCTCACAAAGGTCAGCTGGTTCCGAGGAAGCCCGCCGCTGGTTGCGAAAGACCTGACTCCATTCAGAACATGCTCAACAGAGATTACCATTTTTTAAATCTTTCTTAAATAAACTATGCTTTATCCATAGTATGAACAAATGGATGTATGAATGAAACGTTCTTTATTTTAAACTAGTTACCACACGGGATATGGGCCACACTTGCATTAATATAGTTCTTAACTCAAAAATTGTGCTTAAAACCATTTTAAAATCAGGTTGCAATCCTTTTAGGGAAATTAGTGCCTTTAGCTAACCACAGCATTTAAATTGACAGTCACAGCATGTGCGTGCATTGAAAAGCTCACCTCAGTGTGGGCTTCCATATGAAGTGTCGCATTCACATAAAAACAAAAATGCAGAGGGAACCCTGCTTTGCAAGGACGAAAACTCACCACAGCCAGAATCACGGAGATGGGACACGAACGGGACTTTTGTTTTACACAACAGCGCCACCCAGTGGCCAAACAATGGTAATGAACCGGTAAAGGGCATGAATGAACAGGCAATGATGATGCTATGCTGTAGGCAGAGATGCATACTGCATTGCCATGGTAACTGTACCTTGGAGGTCAGTCAGGTTCTGGACAGGAACAGAAACCTGAGCATCACTTCCTGTAACTACATCGCCTGGATTTCATAAGAAAAAATAATTAGATTTCATAAAAGGGAAAAATTCACTTTCGTTCATACCCAATACTGTAATACTTTTATCAAATTTCTAATAATATAGTACAACACAAAATACACCACAAATTTACACAAGACAATATTTTAAAAGAATGCTTACTAAGAAGTTTCTACTAGTCTTGAGAACAGAAAACTCAATATTTTAATTTAAAACTTAATATCTCTCATTAGATTTCAAGGTACTATAAATATTAGTGTGAGTTTAGGTTTTCGTCTTAAAAACCTTTATATCCAGAATGAGATTATATATGTCTTTTATTAACAGGTATTATTTCAAAACTGATTTCCTCTCACATCAGAATAAAATCTATTTAAACTAAACTTGAAACCAACTTTTTCAGTGAAAAAGACTTGAGTACATTCCATGTGTGCATATTCAGAAATAAAGAGTTTCCTAAGTGACCACAAGTGCTGATGAGCGCAAGCGTGCTCCCGTGCAAAGAGCAATCAGGAACATGAGCAAAGGGAGCGGGAACGGGGCAGGGAAAAGTGCATTTTAAGATCACAGAGAGGAGAGGAGCCCCCCAGAAGGCCCTTGGGGAGCCCGAGGAAGGCTAGCGCTCCGAGGGGAGACTTCCTTGGTTCTTAGGTTCGCGCCCGATGACACGGACCAAGAACCAGCAGACTTCCGCCCGGCGGAGTTCAGCGTCAGAGGCTGATGCTATTTTGAGATGAACAAGTTAAAAACAAGCATTTTAAAACGGCATATTAACTGGTTATTTAGGAATGATAGGCTTGTGTCCCCTTTAGTGCTTGCATAATACATACAGCAGAAAAAAAAAGGAATCAATTTTTGGATTAAACGCCATATCCTCCGTATCCTGAACATTTGCTCCAATCATGATTTACAGTGCGTCCAGCTCATCTGGAAATTGTTGGGTTGTAATTATATCATTCCCATCAATTAATGGCACACACATTATGTTCTCTGATAACTGAAATAAAATCTACAAATAGCAATGTCCCCAAAAGAAGTGATGGATTGCATTCAGTAGAAAAAGTCAGGCCCCGTATTTTCATAACACAGTCAAGTCTGAATCACTGACGAGCGGTGCCGGCTTGCTGTGTATCTGAGATTTTAGCCCAGGATTCATCTTACTCTGTTGTTTCCGCATTGCCTATTCATGTGCATGCAGGGACTGAACCCTCACTTTAACGTGGGGTGTCATCGAGGACACGAGAGGGGACAGACATCTGGGCTACCTTGTCTTTCTTCCACACAGCACAGAGTGCCTTTTGCACCTGTATACATTGGGATGCCAATCCAAGCATCCCTACAGAAGCCCAGGGCTCCGTTCTGAGACGGCCGGAAACCATGAAGGCACACGGGCCTGCAGACCTGTCGCGGTCCCTCGTCCCTGGAACCAGCTGACCCTCTTGCCCGCGCTTAGTGGGCCGGCGCAGAGGGCGCTTCTGGAAAGAACGAGCCCACACAGCTAGGATGGGAGCAGTCTTTTTCACCAGAAGCAGCTGAGAGCCTGGAGCGGACAGGAGATCAGCGGGGCCCTCTTCTCAGGTGGAGAACTTCGGGGTGTCCCCTGGGGAGCGTCAAACAACGCTGCCTCCTGCTTCCGGTCACTGTACTCCGTGCTCAGTTTTACTCAAATCTTTATGCAGGAAGGGTCAGTGGCAGGAATGTTTATCTTGACATGAAGTCAGAAAAGGTTTTTTTTTTTTTTTTGAGGGGGGTAGACTACACGAGAAGAAGAAACCAGAAACAAAAGTAGAGAGGAGCTGCGAAGCGAGGGCAATTTCGCGGAGCCGAGGGACCGCTTGCTTGCCCAGGGCCGGGGAGGCCTCCCTTCCAACGCCTCGCTTAAGTGCTCCGTCGCCTCCTTACAACCGGGGACTTGGTTTTCATCAATTGTCCCATCTCCACGCGCTTCCTTTCTCACGCACTGTGATATTAATACTTGACATTTCCTTGGAGACACAACTTTATATTTCTACAGTCATTTGGCTTGGTTCCTCAGAAAATTTAAGCTACAGTGTTAAGAGATTCTCTGACTCATTTGCCTGCCATAAGTTAGAATTACAACTGACTAAAGCTTGTTATCAAAGCAATATTGCGATCATATTTGTTTAGAACAATAAAACAGTACAATTAAGAAATATATAAAATAGCATTCGTTTCCACTCTGGAAGCGGGCATGTCTCCTGGCATTAAGACACATTTTGCAACATGTGAATGACTCAAAGTCTCCTCTTCTTTAATGACAGCTCTACTTCAAACAAAATCCTCTTCTCGTAAGGTAGACGGACTGTTTTAACAAAAACCCAAACACTCGTTGCATACAGTCTGACATTTCCTATGGGCAAAGAAAGAGAGGAGAGCTAGGTAAGGGGCTCCCAGTGGGGGTACAGCCCCGTGTGCCCCACACGAGCGTGCCCTCACTGGATGCTGTTACTCTACATCCTTGGGGAAGGAGTACTTAATGCAAGGTCACAACTCAGAGGCCAAGATGTAAAAAATTTCAATCATTTTGGGAAAATCTTCTTAAACAGAATATGTGAAACACAGTTTGAGACTTTTTTTTCTTTTTTTAACAAAACGGGGGCCTTTAAAGATCTGTGGAAAATGTTCATTATGAAAAAAACTATGCATAGATTTTGAGATTTTTTTTTTTTGTACAAAGGTAAATTTACCCTGTAACTTTGAGGTACACTTGTATTGCTCGTGTTATAGTCAAGGTCACACAACACTGGAGCCGCACAGGGGTCCCGTGTGGGGCCTGGCTCGGGGTGTCTGCCTTGACACCACACAGTCCCACATGGCTGTCCTGCAAGCTCAGGACTCACTGCTGTAGAATTTGCTACTTTTTTTGCTTTCACAGCATCATTAGCAGGATCCCACCACAACCAAATGTCATGGCTTCTGGTCTGCTGTGAGTGGCTGACAATGTGGAGTAAGAACCTGAAGGGTTCATTTGAAAGTAAAGTGTTTTGGGGAGCCCTGGTGGTGGGAAGGCCTGGATCAGAAGGGAGTCCCTGGAGTCCCGGCAGCCAGTGCGCAGCCAGAAGCACAGCCTTGACCTTGAGAGGAGAGCCCTGGACTGCATGCCCTCCCAGGTGTCCTCTGGGTGACAGTCCAGGCACAGGTCTAACTGGTAGTGCTCACACGCACACTCTTTACTCTTCCCTATTCTATTTCTGGGAGGCGAAGCAACTGGATGAGAGGCTGAAATCCGGTGTGGGATGCTTCTTCCAAACCTGAGCAATGTACCACTGGTCTGATGCACGGAGCAGTGCACTGACAGGTGCTTCACGCAGTGCAGGGCACGGGACTGCAGGTTCTCAGAGGCGTTACTCTACAGACCCAGCAGCAGCCAATGTCTGTGTCCTGTGATGTCACGCCCCCATCCTCTATGGGCATCAAAATCAAGTATGCAATTTCGCTTTAACCAATAACCTCCTGACATGTCCTTGTGTAAAAATACAGATGATATTCCAATTTAAAAATGGTCAAATATGGGATTTTTCTCCTAAATTTCTATAAGTTAACTTTGCCTTAACTTCTTGTTCTGGGAGGTTGTTCTCCTCGGCACCGGTTCCTACTTGGTTCTTACCTTTGTTGAGTTGCACTGGCATGCTCTCTGACTTCAGCAGCCTCTGCTGCTGCAGGTGATGCTTCGGGGCTTCCACGGACGTTCTGGTGGGAATCCCAGAGGAGGAGCTGCCACTGCTGCCCCCAGCGACAGGGGCACCTGCACCACCGGGGGCCGTTGCTGGGGAAATGAGCTTTCTTCCGAAATTAATCAGGCTATTAGAGACTTTATTTATATTCAGGGGAGCACCTTTGGCATTGGTCCTGTAAAACAAAACAATACAAAATAGTAAGTGGAGAGATTTAAATTAGAGGATGACTGTATTTGCTGTACCCTTACTGCTCTAAAAACACGCTGGACTGCTGCTGTAACAAAGACCCTTTAGCCAGCTCAGCTACGGGTGATGAGCAGTGCAAATTCTGTGATAATAATAAAATAAGACCCTTAAAAAACCAAAACAAAAAACAAAAGTGGCTCATGGAAAGCAGATGTAGTATTTCTCATTCGTCTCTCCCACACACAGCTCCCATCACTCGCCAGCAATGCGTTCCATTTTGGGGTTTCACTGACACAGGGGCTCCACTCCACCAGGGAAGAAATGACAGTCACCCACTAACCACACAAGCAAACGCAGGTTCAGAACCTGGGAGGTGGATCCCTAAGAGGGGCAAGGCTTAGTATGTCCTGTGTGCCACAGAGGGGGCACTTGGAGAAGGGGGCTGAGAACGGATCACCCATTAGCCCTGGCATAGGCTAACAGGCCAGATCTAATCCCATTCTCCACATGAACGTGCCTGACAGGCAGTCAATGTGTGGGGGTTCTGTCGTGGTCCGTGAGCCCGCCACCCACCCTGCTTTGCCCCCAGCACTCCACCACTTCCTGTCCCCTTCGCTGAACAGCACTTTCCATCATCTGACATCTTTATGTGGGTAACAGGTGTCCACTCCCTCCACCCCCACTCAAACCTCCTACGAAGCTTCAGGAGGGCAAGGATCTCTACCTCTTGGTAACTGCTCACGACCCAGCACACCGCAGGGACCTTACACGTGATTTGCTGCGTGGCTGCACCGCCCTGTCGGCTCCCTTTCCACCTGTCCTGGCAGCAGCAATAGCAGCAGAGTGCCCCACTCCCGGCTGAGAGCAGCCTCTCAGTTCTCTCCATCTAAGACTGCTGCTGTGGCACCTGCCTCTGCATCACCATCCCCGTCAGTGGGCAACCACGGGGCTGTTACAGGCACGCTCCTTTCTGGTTAGGCCCATCGTGTTCCCTGTTCACATTCTGTAGAGGTGTCTTAATGTGCTGTCTCGGATGCTGCAGTCTTATAACTACTAAGCTCTGGCTACAGCTTCCGCCATCACCAACGACTTCTCCACTTCTCTGCAGCACCCTTAACTTCCCTTCCTCCTCCTCTACTCTTTCATGGCTTCCTGAGTTTGCCAGACTTGTGTCCTAATGGTCAGGGGCCAAGCAAACATTTGTCAAGTGGGCAATCGCTTCTCAGATGACTTGGAATCTTCTAGTATCTCGGGGCTATTGTCTCAAAGACTAGATAGGACTGTAAATTAAATTAGATGTATGAAGTGGGTCATCTCCCTGACAGTGTTCAGGTTTATTTTTATTGGTCAACTTGTTAAAACAAACTTGTGGGTTGTTTTGGTACTTTGCTTCTTGTTCATAAAAGTAGGAAATTGATAACTGAGTTTGAGAGATCCTTATTTGATTTTAGTTAACCTGAATCTCATATCACTTGATGCACTTATTCTGTAAGTTGCCCTCAATTTCATATCATCACCTTCTCTCAGCTCTATCTGGCTACACTTGCACAGTTATTCTACTTTTCACATAATAGCTACATCCTTGCTATTAGCAGGTAGCGCTCTCAAGCAAAAGTGATCCGTAGTTCTACAATGAAAAGGAGACAGCAGTTCGTGGTATGAGCTAGCTAAATGTTTGCTATGGGTTAGGTAGCAGAGGCTTACACTGTTTCAGAGACAAAATTCAGTATTCTAAAGGAAAGATGTATTCATTTATCATTCAATGAAATGTGTAAATATTCAAATGTATACTTTTGTATAGAGTTTCATCTTGAATGAACAGGGCTATTTAATATCCTTCCAAAAATGATTAAAATAATGTTTCCTAGTGGATATTAGCGTATACAGTGATTACACACCACTTTTGGTTTTTAGCTGCTTCCTATTCAAGCAAAGCACTTACAATTTACAGATGATACAGGCTAGCAACGGAGAAGGTGCTAAAAACATGTTTATCGAAAAGAAAGAGTGAAATGAAAAGAACTCATGAGTCCTACATTAACGAGGCATTCACCCCTGGCACGCGCTCCATCCGGCAGTCTGCACGCGTGCCCGTTCACCGCGGGTGGCGGCACGAGTGACTGTGATGCTCAAGTTCTATTGCAGTTTAGTTTTGCTTTGCTTTTTTTTTTTTGCCAATCAAGATTCATAATTCACAGATATGAAGAAGTTATAATATTGTTACCCTTTCCTATAAACAAAAATGTACTGCTGAAATTCCCATACTGCCAGTTGTAAAATTTATATGTTGATAAAAGTACTAAGAAACTGCTAGAGCATTATCAAGAGAATATGGTTAATGCATCTTCATTACTACTAATAACCACGAAAAACATATAGATCAAGCGCGTGCCGAGCAATTTTTCACCGGAATAGGTCTCCACAGCGGAGGAGCTCTGCTGTCCTCCTCTGAGCATGTTTTTGTTTTTAACTACTTCCCCCTCATCCACCACCCGTAACTTCCATGAAGCACGCTTCCTTTTCGAAACACCCACTGAAGATGTCTCTACGAAGTTTTAGGCTACACATCAAACACTTCAAGAGAAAACACGCTGCGTGTATGGGTGTGTGTGCTTCCAGCTCACCCGATATGACAACCTTCATATTATTACGTGTTGTCTAATTTAGATATAAAATAGCATCACTCCTCACACGTACGCTGAGCAATCACCAGCGATTGTGGGACAGATCACCAAGATACGCATGCTCAGCTAAAAGGTGTCACAGCGCTCTGATGGATGGTGGGCATTGGATGGGATTAAAGATGGAGTGCAAAGAGTCAAAATAAATAGCCAAAGGAATTCAGAGTCAAGAAGTCAAATCCAACGAGATTCCATGTAATCAAAGTCTTTCATTACTATTGCCTACTTAGTGTTATTAAGGTGGTAGTATCACAGGATTTTTACCGTTAAAAGACTTTTACAGTGCATGCTCTGATAAAAAAACAATAGCAGCACCTATGAGAACGTTTTAAATTGTGCCAAAACTTTTTTTTTTTTTGTAGATCTGTTTTATTTTTCTTGGGAAGTTGGATTTACAGAGAGCAGCAGAGGTAGAGAGAAAGGGCTTCCATTTACTGGCTCACTCCCCAAGTGCTTGCAACAATAGGAGCCAAGTTAATCTGAAGCCAGGAGCCCAGAGCCTCTTTTGGGTCTCCCACGCAGGTGCAGAGTCCCAAGGCCTTGGGCTGTCCACTACTGCTTTCCCAGGCCACAGGCAGGGAGCTGGATGGAAAGTGGAGCAGCTGGGATACAAATTGGCATCCATATGGGATCCTGGTGCATGGCACATACAAGTGAGGACTTCAGCTACTAGACTACATGCCAGGCCCACCAATTAAGTCATTTTTAAATTATTATTTTTCCATGATATGGTTTTGTAGGTATAGGGATTCCCCCTCCACCACCGCTTCCTTCCTCTCCATGCTCCAGCCCACATGCGATTTCCCTTTATATTATTACAGCATCGCAGTTATTACTACAGTCCTTTTTGGCCCAACTGCATTTATGAGATTATATCATGAACAACAGGAGAACTTTCTGAAGATCCAAGAATCTCTTCAAAGTACCAGTATGAGAACCCTGCTCTGTAAGCGTCCCAAATGGTGTCTTAACCTGTGCCACAATGTCTGTCCCAACTGGTGAGTAATTAAAGGTCAGAGTTCAGGAATGGCCATACAAATACATGGCCAATAGACTTTTCAACCAAGAATCTTATTTAATTTAATGGTGAAGGAACTTTGACAAATGATACTTAAGAGTTAGATCTCTACATGGAAAAAGATGAGCTTCAGCCTTTACCTCACTCCACATGCTGAGGTAATTTGTGTTAGATCACAAATTTAAGCAAAAGTGGTAGAACCACACAGCTTTCAGAAGGCAGCAGGAGACTATTCCTGCAACTGTATAGTAAAAGGTTAACTCAGCAGGTCTGGGAGGTCCAATTCTCACATAGTCTCAAAATGTTTAGGATTGGCCCTTAACTTTGAAATGTCTCGTCTGATAAAAGTACCTGCCTACTTGGAGCTGGGCCACACCAAACAGTTTATGTTAACAGTGGAATTTATGGTGAACACCTGTTTTTCGTTTGCCAAGGTTATTAATCTGACCTCTGGTGGCCTGGAGACTGGGTAGCTAAGCTTGGTCACGTGGGTGCTGTGTGCCTACCTGATGGGGCCCATCAAAACACTCTGAGGGACAGAGGCTTGGTTCAACTCCTCAGCTGGGCGGCACCTGCACTGTTGCCAAGAGGGTTCAACACTCTATTGGAGGACCTCAAACCCTGTCCTTTCCTGATTTTATCCACATCCTTTCCCTGTGAGCTCACTGTCATCATGAGAAGAACCTCTGGATTTTGTTCAGATGTCCCAGCAAATCAATGAACCCAGCTGGTGCTCTTATGGATCACCAACAATAGAGATTAAAGATAGAAAAAGATTTTCTATAAGGAAAACAAAAAACACTTAAAAATGATCTTCATGAAAATTAAGTTTTTCTTTTCATCAAATGACACTATTGAGAAAAGAAAAAGGAACACCACACACTGGGGAGTAGTATTAGTAATATTTACAGTACATATGTCTGACAAAAGTTTCCTGTCCAGAAAACACATATATATCTTCTTATATATATAAAGAATTCTTACAATCCAAGAAATAAATACCTCATTTAAAAGTAGGCAAGATACTGGGATAAGCACCTCATATACAAAAAGACACAAATCATTAAAATTCTATGAGGATAGACTGAACATCATTAATCATTTGGAAAAGCAAATTAAACTACAATAAGATACTATTCCATACTAAGTAGAATAGATACAACAAAGGGCCTGGTGTGACAGCTCTGGCTAATCCTCCGCCTTCAAGCCCCAACATCTCATATGGACACTGGACCACATCCCAGCTCCCTGCCTGGGACCTGGAAAAACAGCAGAGGACGGCCAAAG